GAGAAAAACTGGTAAATTGCTTTGCTTTTATTTATAATCATATGGACCGGTTTCCAGGACTTCCAGTGCATTATTCATTATAATTTCAAGTTTTTTCTTTTGGTCTTCGTATTTTCGAGAATTTCCCGCTTCTGTCCAAATAACAACATCGCCTGCGAACATACAGACCTTAATACCTTTAATTATTTTTAACTTGATTACTGCATCATTTATATAAGATTTAAAAAGGGTGCAGCTGCTAACTGCTCCTTGAGGCAGACCTAATTTACTTCGTTTATAATTTGATTCCTGCTCGTTGCATCTGATCTTCGCCTATCTTTGGCATAAAACCTCTTTGCACCAGTTGTACGTTTTTCAGCCAGTTGCATAAACGTGAAGTTTGTTGTGAAATCTTCGCCATATTGTGTCGTAGGCTCCTTGAATATCAACAGACAGCCAAAGAGCTTCTCCCCGAATTGAAACTGATTTTAGTTTTGTGAACCAACATCAAAATTGAATTAGCAGTTGACATGTCTTTTCTGAAACCAGTCTGTTCTTCTGCCAGAATCCCGTGTGACTCCAGGTAAATCCTTAGTCTTGCAGTTCGGGAGGCAATGATACTCACGACCGTGATATCCTTAATTCACACGTGCCTCCTGGCTGGTGCCAAATGAGTAACAGCTATGGCTAAGGCGGCTCAGAGTAAAGCAAAAAGACTATAACAAATTAAAGCATTTTGCTCAGACTTTGGTGAGGACCCTATCTGCCCTGCCCATGTCCTCTGCGACAGCAGAGAACGGAAATGAGTAAAATAGATTTCTATTAAGCTTGATTTTTCTTACGTAACTGATTACGGGTGTATTCTTGTGACTTCAAATAATATAATATCCTTTTGAAAAAAATGGATGTTAAATGCTTTTTATACGTCAATAAGGAGGTGTAAATGTTTCATGCGAAATTAAATTCCCAATTATTAGAAATTTTGACAATAAATGGGATGAACATCCAGAAATTTTATTTTCTCTATGCAATGCGGAATGTCTTCGGCTTGAATTTTTAAAAATATTTTTAGGAATTGAATCATGAGCAAAAATTTATTAATTCAAAAATTTTGGAACTTAGTTTTACATCTGCAAACACATTAATTTCTGCATTTTTAGAATTATAGCAATACTTATTTAATAAATTTTAAGTATACTGCTCACGCCTCTATTCGTAAATAAAAAGGCTAAAATTAATTTTAAAAACTCATTTCATTTTAATTTAATTAATGAAAATCTAAAATATTTCTTTAACCAATGGCGGGCTCTTAGCCGACTTCGGCTTTTCCACTACTAAGGCCAGCAGTTGTGGTCACTTTATTATAAAAGCACCTATTAGGTGGGCCACCTTTGGCTCCTACGAAGGGACGGACAGTTACAACCATGCCTTCTCCGGGACTCGAGCCCGGGCCCTTTGCTATCGCGGTCGGCTCCTGTAACCACTATACGGTCAAACTAAAATAATGGAAACTAAGAAATAGAAATATAATATATAATACAATGCAATGATTCATCTTTATAAAGACTAGCAACTTCTTAGAGGAGAACGAACTTTTTTTTCCATTCTCCATCATCGGTATCAATTTAATTAATTACATTGTTACTGGCTGTCAAAATGTGGACTAATAAACAATTTGAACTGTTACGTGTTAATGTTTGCATGTAAAATAATACAGAATGGTTATTTTTGTTTTGGATATCACTTGATGTTAACACTGGGTTTCTTGGCAATATAATAAATATCCTGAGATAAAAATAGTCAAATATTGATACAAATATGTTTGCATATCTAAATATTTATACAAAGTGTTTTAGATAATTTTAAAATATTTTACAACATATTTCAATTTGCAGAAAAATAAAAAAGACGGCATAATTTCAAGGAAAAGAAATCAATTCTCGGCAGCTGCTTTATCAAAAGTATGAAACGCTTCCAAAGTTTAATCTTCTTCTGTCAGTTAAAAGCATTTAGCGTGCTTTGAAAATTTTTGTATAAATTGCTTCAAATTTTAGTATATTTTTTAAACTCAGAATTTAGTATATAATTTCGTCAATTATTTCTGTAAATACATACTACAATCATTTCCTGAAAAATCTGCGCAGGATTCAAATTCAGTAAGCAGTTTGATAAACACTCTAGTGTCTATTTTTTGATAAATATCTATGAAATTCTTCGCATACAAGTGTGATTAGTGGATACTAAAGGATTTATTCTAGGCAGTAGAACAAGTTGTCTACAAGAAAGTATTTTTCTCTCCCCCCACAACCATATATAAAGAAACATTTCTATTAAAACATAATTCAGGTAGGCCATTTTGCCTCAACAAATAATTATCAAGAGATTTAGCATCTCACCATCCTTACTGGAATACTAATAAAAACCAAGTATTCTTAAAAATATAATTAAAATATGATAATGAGTTTTTATTTGAGAATGCTTATCAATTATGCATTATGCATTTCAAAGAAACCTTTTTCTTTGAATAAGAATACATTTTAAACATTATTTAATCAATCCGGACTCGAATTAGTAAAAAGAATTAATTAAAGATAATGAGATATACAAAACTATTTTGAAAAGATTGTGCATAATTGTATATCTTAAAGTAAATGTTTATTTTAAAACCTAAAATGCCGTTTCCTTTATTTCTGGAAATGTGCGACATTAGATGAAAGAGTGATTTTAATTGAAATAATTAGGTAGCTAATTTAATCCGTTTAAAAAAGAAGTTTGTTTTGTACGAACTGTTAATCCTTCCCTTAGTAGCCTACATTGAATAATACTCAGTGTAGGGTCTTTGAATTTTAAAAATTAAACTGTAGCTTTAGGAGGATTGAAGAAAATTTTTATTCTAGTAATTGTCTTTTGAAATACAATGAATGTAAAATTATTCGATTTCCTTAAATGATTTTAATTTAAATTCCACCTTTTTTATGCCAGAATAAATTGCATTTTCTTATTGATTATTTTAAGACTTCAAGAAATGTTTTTATTTTCTTAAATGGAAATTGGATGGTTATTATGTATATAAGACATTACATTTCCGTCTTCATTCTCTGTAGTCTGGAACTGATATTTCTTAGCTAATTTATTTCTTTTCAAATATACTCAATATGTCAAAGTGAATTTAATCTTAGTGATATGGGGTTGTATGTTCTAAGAGATTATTTCGATATGATTCCAGGAACGAGTGTACTTTTGTTTAAATAAAATACTTTTAAGGTTTCAGTTTCATGGGAGGTAAAACATCTAAACATTCATAAACAAGCGTCTTGTAAATAAACAACTGTCATAACATCAAAGACCTAATCTCCATTAAAGCATTAAATGCATATACACACCATAATCAGGTAACCAATGCTGTATCATCACCAGTTATACCGTCAGAAAATCCTTTAAAAGATGGAATTAGCTCTTAAATTTGCATTTCAAAGCATACAGAGATAAAACCACTCTAAATACATAAAAGAACCTTTTCAATTCAAATAAAGTTCTAAAATGTTGTTTTCGATAATTCCCAGGGCACATACATATAGTTGAGAACAAATGACAGATGATGAAACCGCAAACACAGGCAAACGTCTTTACATACGTTAACGGTAATAAGAACGATTTAAAATTTGAAGTCATTAATGAAAATCTTTTAACCTGAAACTAACAATCCTATTATTCATGAATTTCAGAAGAACATTCTGTTTCATTACGGCAGTAACTATAGGATTAATTAATATGAATACGATTATTTAAATTTACAGTAAATTCGGTTCTAATATCTAATAAGTTCTCTATTTTAAACTTGTCTAGTATAATTCTAGAAATGTTGAAAAATATCTCCCCCAGTGATGTTCCGTTCAATTCCATTAAAAGATCTTCCAAATTACAGTCAGAACGTTACTGAATGATCTTTTATTGACAACGTTTTCGCGCGTTGGTTCTGGGTATAATTTGATAGCATAAAATTGAAATAGATGAGTCGGAACTGATGCTTGTCTACTGTTCTTAACCTTTAATATCGTTCTAAAATATTTACGCTTAAAGAATGTGAACATATTCATTTTTTGCTTGTACGCACCTATCACATTTCCGCAAGTAATTTAGAGACAATTAAAAGAATCAATGTTAGTTTGAATTACTCGTCTGATAAGAGCAGAATGACTTTTAAACAATATTCTTTATCACGTACGCAACAAGTTTCGCTTATAGAGATTTTAGTTGCTTATTTAGAGCAGGAAACACGAAAAATCTAATATGCTCCCGCCAGGATCCTCTGGATGTCAGCTGAGTATTCTACCACATATACGTAGGTTATTTTTTTCAAGGTCCGAATGGCCGCTAAATGAAAAATCACAGTGAGAATCAAGAAAATTTTATATGAAACAATGTGATACAATATTAAGCTACATTTCGATGTAATCGCCGTTCTGATTCATACATTTGTCACTGTGTGGTACAAATTTTTCAATACCTTTGTGATAGAAAGCAGCCGCCTTTGTTTTCAGCCAATTCTGTACGCTGGTCTGCAGGTCGTTGTCTGCGGCAAAATGCTGCTCTCCTAGTGAGCATTTCACGTGGGCAAATAGACGAAAATCTGATGGAGACAAATCAGGATTGTGTCTTGGGTGATCAACAATTTCCCTTCCAAAACGCTGCAGGAGGATCCTTGTTTCACCTGCAGTGTGCGGCCGCGCATTGTCATGAAAAAGAAGGATACCTGACGACAACATTCCTCTTCTCTTGTTATGAATTGCCCTTCGAAGGCGTTCAAGAGTTATGCAGTACGAAGCTGCAGTTAATGGTTCTGCCACGGGACATGAATTCCACCAAGACAACACATTTCGGTCCCATAACACTGTAGCCATATATGCTTTGGTGGAGAACGTGCGCTTGAACTTCTCTAGCTTACGACTAGGGGAGTGTGGATGAATACACTATTTCGATCGCTTTTTTTCTTCAGTTGCATAATGCACCCATGTCTCATCTCATGTGACAATTTTATCCAAAAACTGTCCTCCGTCCTGACGGTAGCGCTGGAGAAAGATTAATGCGGCACCCATTTTCTGAGTTTTGTGATGGACAGACAGCATCTTGGGAGCCCATCTAGCGCAGAGTTTGCGGTACTCGAGTCTTTCACTCACAATGATATAGAGAGCTGACCGTGAAATTTCAAGAAACAAATCACTCAACCCAAAAATTGTACACCAACGATTTCCACGAATCGCCTGATCCACGCGCTGAACAAGATCATACATTGACACTGGCTTCCTTCCCTGCCCACCTGCATCATGAACGTTTGTGCATCCAGCAAGTTCCCGCACCATTTCTGCACACTACTGTCACTCATGAAGTTTCTCGGTACACTTTACTCATTCGTCTATGAATTTCAGCTGCACTGCTTCCTTCAGCATGCAAAAATCGAATTTTCGAAGCATGTTTAAGTGCTCCCTACGTACTCAGAAATGATAATTGCGAATTGAAACGTTACCCAGGCCAACTAGAGACACTGCGGAAGACGTCTACGCAGAGAAATAGCGTATTTTCCCCGAAGCGACCAATCGGATCTTGAAAAAAAATAGTCCTACCATGATAGCATTCTTCCTGAGTTTCCATATGCAGAAACGTTTTTTTAAATTTCTGGCCAGCATTGTTCTGAGAATTTTTTCCAAGAAGATCCAGTGTTCTAGATGCATCTGTGAGTTGTAAGGTTAACCAAATTAAATGATTTTATAAAATCTGCATCTGTTATCAATCACAGATATAAGTCGCCATATTCACCATAACTTTAGGTATTTACTGTTCACCCGAATATCATTCTAAAGTACTTAATTCCTTTTATTGATACACACTATCTTTTTTTAAAGTTCCTAATATTGTCACTAATAGTTCGTAAGAAATTCCTGCTGATTTCATCAGGCTTTGTATCCGTTCTTAACTCTTTAAAAACCGAATTTTTCGCTAACCTGTACGCATAAAATACCAAACCGCCCGAAAACGGTTTCGAGAGTTACAGTAATTTCCTCCCCTCCTCATCCATTAACGCACAAAGAAGAGTGAAGATTTCAAATGTCATTCTGTCTATTTTCTAATAAATAAAGGTAAGAAACCACAAATAAATCCTTTTAGGACAAGCTGTCTGCAATAAATTCATACAATGCATTTGGGGAAACTACACCTGCTACTGCATACCTTAGAGGAGGGAAGAAAACAGCATTGGAATTTCAGCCGTTTTGTTGTGGTCATTTGAATGAAAGGCAGTCTGGGGCGTTATGGTCTTCAAAGAGTTAAAGCAAAGTTAAGCACCAGAGGTCTAAGCTAGTAGCATGGGAGGACCAAATTATATGACCGGCAGTAGACAGCTGAATTATTTTCATGCTACTACATGTACTTCTACCTGCACTTTTTATTGTTATTACTGAGAGGTATATATACATGCTCTCTTTACTTGCTGTGCGGATTACATGTTGATGTATGTTCTCTTTTATGCATTACGCATCTCTCAATATTGCAAGTATAACATTGCTGTTATAACTGCAGCTACTATTTTGTCAGTCTTTATATTTTTCTACTTGCGGTGAAAGAAAATACTATCTGATGTACCTTTTGGAATTCCAGACATGTTTTGTAGATGCTTGAATGTTTCCGCTTGCAAGAGAAACGTCTGTATGCTAATAATTGGGACAGCTGTTAAGTCGCTGCAGGAAAAAAAAATTCCTGTTTTTTCCATTTACAATGCAATTTTACTCTCATATTCTCTTTATAGTTTGTCCTGGTGTACTAAATCTCTACAATCGTGTATGCTAAAATATAGAGAGAAATAAAACAGTACTCCACTTTCTGGAATTCAATATATAGTTAGATATAGATATAGATATATCTGTAATGATGCTGAAATATTGAATGCAAAGATGTTGATCCATAACGAAGAGCAAACCTAGTAGTAAAGGCAGACTAAATTTTCGTTTTTATTTCTGTTGAAATTTGTGACCACAGTTCAGTTGGCACTCTAATAATGTCTATTTCAAAACATTTACATTTTTGACAGCTTTGAATTAAGAAGAGATGCAGCAAGCTGCAGACTGGTTAGGCCGAGTTGCAGAACGCAAGTGCACAATGATCTAATATGGAAGTTTATTAAGAGAAAGGATATGGTTCTGGAAATTTTGGGTTTAAGTTCCAAATTAGCTAAATCATCATCATTACGTAAAAGTCAAAATTTTATTATTTGGATTAATCTAGAAATGGCGCAGTCCAGAAAATGTTATTATGTAATTGCTATTTTTAGGTCAGAGATGGGAAAATTCCCAAATTAAAATGAAGAATGAAGAGGCTATTTCTAATTTGTGTTATAATTTTGATTTATATATTTTTAATCTCACGTAATTATCTTCCCTAGCTAATTTAAATAAATTTTACTGAACTCCTGAAACGCAAGCTCAAATACTCTTTATGTGTTTCTTGTTTGATCTATTTAAACTAGTTGGTATTCGAAGTTGCATACTGGGCTCCAATTCCATAAATGAACATAATCTCATTTCCTCCCTTTCGCAGAAAATTGTAAGTTGTGTATTTTTAATAACCAAACAGATATCAGCATCGAATCCTCCATCATCAATCGCGATTTGTAATGGAAAAAACTATTTCCCAATATAACCTGGTAAACCCAAAAGCAATCCGTGGTAATTGGCCGTTTTGTAGTATAACGTGACAAAATGGAAAAATTGTACGAAGTAGTGTTCTTCCGAATTCCAAAATGTTTTGAATATGTGACACTACCTGAAGATGAAGGATAGGGTGTAGAGGATTTTCCAAAAACAATTTGGCTCATATGTTAAAATTTTGGCTCATATATGCTTTCACTGTATATGTACTGTACATATGTTTCATAATATACTGTATGTGCATTTTAGATTCATCCTAATGACACTCTTTTTACTTAAGATCGAATGGAGTTGATAAATATATATGTGATACAAAATTAAAATTGCTCTAATTTTCTTTTTAGTGTACAAGGGATTACATATTCCTTCTAATTTATCAGATAGAAGGAATAAAGAAAAACATGTTTTACCACTTTTAACCCAGCAAAATTCTTTCACTATATAATGAAAATGAGGTGTCGGAGCTATAAAATCTATAAGATATCACTTAGACGAATTAATGAAAATTTGTGCAAAAATGGAAGAGTTTAAACAAGAGCGGAAGTTTTTATTGATTATCTAAAATTATTTGTACTGAGACTTATCAAAGCCATAAGATCGCATATGAATCTGCAGACAATTAGATTAATTTTTTCTTTAGACAACACAGTACATGAAAATAAAATTAGAAACATTTACAATGTTTCCAAATTTTGAGATAAAAGAAATTGAAGAAAAGAAACTTATCAGTATGAAAATGTATGCAAACTAATAAAGTGTTTAGAAAAAGGTTTAAGCTGCTATTTTTTAGTATTATACTCGCTATAATTTTAATGTTTAAAACTGTCATTCTGGGATATAAATTTTCAATAATAAATTTCTAGCTTGATAAACCAAAAATACCAGGTTCGTAGGAGATTAAAAATTATATACATAAAACCCCATATTTTAGGAATTTCATAAATATTATTTAATTTTGATTAAGCGTGGTATGCAACCTGAAGCGACAGTTCTTAATGGGTCTCTACAGATGTTTTCCGTATGTAATATATATATGCACTTTTCCCATTAGAACGTTTACTGAAAAAGCATATTTTTTTTCAAAGAGCTTTTCTACTTACCTATAAATCCACATTCCATTGAGTTAAATGGTTGTGCTCGTCGATCACAAGATACAAACGAAAGAAAAATACTTTATGCTATGAAAGTAATTAAAAATTAAAGCATTTTGAAAATGAGGTTTTAATTAGTGAGTCAACTGTTTTTGTGACTTGAGAAGTAAAGGAATTTATTTTAAATCATTTACCATATGTAAACCCGTTTTAAAACTTTATATAAAAGAAACACTTATGGTGAGAAGTCTTTGCATTTGAAACAGGCGTATAATGTTGATATTAAACTGAGAATCTATGCTTTGAGCCATTTACCAAATATGTTTCGGACCACCAGAGTTTAACTGATTAAACTCACGAAATATTGGTATTTTCACTGTAAGCTGGATTACTCGGAGAATTGAAAAGCTGGTGGGGCGTTCTTATTGGTTTCGCCTTAAGTAAGATATAATGGATCAGTGTTCTTCAGAAAGTATGTGTCCTAAAATGGAAAGCTCTCGAATAATTTTCCTTAATAATTTAATCGAACCGTATACTATAGTTCTGATTATGATTAATTAACCAGGAAGCTCAAGGAGAAAATTATAGTTTCATTCATAGCCCGTGTCATCACATGAATTCATCAATTAAAATGGAGACACACTGACACTGCTTTGCGTATACTTATCGCGACAATTAAAATTTAATGCTATTACATGCTTACTATATTAATCACCTTTAAATTTCGAGAAGCTTATACTACGATTTTATGTAATGTAACTTGTTTTATGGTTTGTAACATTCTACCCTATTATTTCATGTAAAAGTCTATTAAGAAATTCTAAATGTACAGAAGAATTGTAAAGATTCAGAAACATAAGATATTACTGCATCTTTCAAATTGTTGTTTCCACAAATAACATTTCTAGCTACAAGTCGCCTTTACAGGTATAAAAGCCCACCAGCGGCCGAGCGGTAAAGTCGCTGAACACTGGTAGTTCGGTCCGAGGTTCGAATCCCGCGAACGGGCTGGCTGCATGGGCGTTTTCGTGGTTTTCCCCATGTGTAACGTGTATACGAGCCAATTTCCCTTAGAAAGTCCTCCACGAAAGGCATCCCTCCCCTTAGGCAGATAGCCCTCGTGTGCTTTTGCCATAATTAAATACACCAACACACCTTTACAGGTATAAACTTTTACATTTTATTACAGTAGGCTCGATTAGGAAGCACAAAATAACGTCGAATATTGGCCGCAGTAAACATTTATTTCTCAACTGACTGTGACGGAATCATATAATCATCATTACCGACAGCTAGCAGAATTACATTAAAGGAGTAGACATTATGAAGGCTTACAAGTGATAACCTTCACTGTTTTTCGTGACAAAGTCAATTTAATTCCAATATTTTAGGAATTCATGCTTTGAAAGTCTTCAATAATTACAAAAACAGAGCTTCAGTTACATAATTTGTTACACCCTGTTAAATTTAGCCTGGATTTCCAAAACATATATTGCATCGACAACTAAATAAGATAAGATAATTCAATTTCTTTCTTGATACCTCTGTACTCAGACTGCATATAACATATCA